TATAACTATGCACAGAAAACTAGAGGTTCTGGGTCTTTTTTTTTTTTAAAAAAGAAAATGTGTCAGAATTTCACATAAATGTTTTAAACATCCAAATACTCAAAGCTATTAAGTTCACTGGATGGCAAGCCTTTTCTTATCGCTATGACTTTCACATGCAGGAGCCTTTCAGAGTTTTAAAGATGAACTTCCTTCTGTCAGGGTGTAGGCTTTCACAATTGCTCAGAAACACACAAGATGTGAGCCGTTCCTCCTACGTACTCATGACCACCAATCCCGTCCTTCCTTGACTGAAGTCTGAGCCAGTGGGAAGCTTTGGGTTGGGGGAAGGGACGGGGTAGATCAGCCAGTCTACAAGGCCCTAAAAAGTTTTACAGAGAGGAAAAAAGGAACGACCACTAGACTGTAAAGCCTGAGTTTATGTTCTATTGAAAACAAAACAAAATATCAGATGAAAACTTCATTACATTCTCAAGACTAGGAAGAAAAAAGAAGATACATACCGCATCTGTGATGTGGATTTCATACACCCTTTGGAATGTCCTGCGCTCAAAGAAGACAAGTTTGCCACTGCCACATCCCCTTTGAACAGAGGTACCAGTAACTATGAGTTTATCATCAGGGCTGAAACAGCAGTCGGTCCTACACACAGAAAAGCTGATAAGTAAAAACTCAAGGCTCAAAAACAGCGGGGCAGCAATAATGAGTGAATTAAAAACACACAAACATTCCCACCAAAGAACTAATGCCTAATGCAACTATCATCAGCATCATAACTAACTGGCTGGGTCATCACAATAATGCTATAAGGTTGGTGTTCTCCACACGGACTAATGAGGAAGCTAACACAGAGAAGTTAAATAAGCCTTGTCCAGTGGCACCAGAATGATACTTCTGGGGTTCAAATGTAGGCAGTCTGACTGCAGAATCTTTGCTCTTAGCTTCCACATTATGATATGTTTAATGTAAAATGAATGTGACAAACGTTCAATCCAGAGTACCCACAGACAGACAGACAGACAGACAGACAGACAGACAGACAGAACTGAGAAAGTCCTGGCCACTCTTAAGAACTACCTGCCCTGCCCTCATCACCACTATCACCTTCCAAAAGTCAGTGACATCAAGTCAAGCCTTGTGACAGAAGAAAACTGCACTGTGGGGAACAAGCTGGTGTCTTTGATGCTATGGCTTCATTTTAGGAGTCATGGCCACTTAATCATGAATAATCTACATTTTATTCAAAGAAGTTATGTAGTAGGCACTGTTTTAGCAGGTGTGATGGCTCAAAAGCTCTTGTGTCTATTCTAAGCTGAGGTCTGTTGGTGGGTTTGTTATCAGCCGACAATGCCACAGGCGGCGGCTGGCTAGAGTGGGCGTGCTGCTACCGCAGTGTCTCTATTTGATGTTTCTATTACCTTCATACCCTCCCTGTTGGTCATTATTTAAAACAGATGTAAAGTTTTGCCTCCTCCAAAATAGAAACCGTTTCCTAGGCACCAATTATAGGACTTAGAGGTTAAATCCCACCTCAGCTGCCTCAGAATAATCTCTGCTTCAGTTGCCAAACTTAGTAGACTGGAGATAAAGTGTTTGGTTATTCCAGACAAGACAGTGTGAATGACACAAGGACCTCTGTGTACACATAACACAGATATACAAAAATATATACAAAAATCATGGACAAATAGACATCAGTTGCCCCCAAAACAAATATGGGAAGTTAAAAAGAAAAAAAAAAAAACACTTCTCAAGTCCCTTCCCTAGAAAATTTAAAATGATCGATGCAAGGTAACATTAAAGCAATTTCTTTTCTATTCTTTTATTCTAACTAAATAAAAAATACGCTACTTGTGGGGCTGGAGGAATAATACAGTGTTTAAAAGTACTGCTGCACTTCCAAAGGACCCAAGTTTAGTTCTGGTACCCCTAGGATAGCTCACAACCATCTGTTAACTCCAGTCCCAGGGGATCTAATGCCCTCCTCTGGCCTCCTCAGGTACCAGGCACACATGTGGGACACAGGCATAAGAACAGGCAAAATATTCACACACACACATTAAAAACTTAGAAAAGATAATACAACTTACATTGGGAACAAGGTAGGAAGGTCTGAGGCTGAAAATAATGGTTTATTAAATTGCCGGACATCCCATAATTTTAATGTATCATCACCTAATTGAGGATAAAAGAGAAAGAAGACAAGTGAATTTTGTACAAAAGATCTTGTGTCAGCTTAAGGTTTGCCCAATAGCGATAACTCTATAGAAGGGGGGATGGGAAGAAGTAAAGAAAAGCGGAGAGAGGGGAAGGAGGGAGAACCCCATGCACCTAAGTACATTTTCCTTTTAATTGTTTAGGGGGTTGGAAAATGCACTAATAGTTGCAAAAATAGTATAAAATTATCTGATAGTAAGTTATCCTCCCAGCAATTATTTTCTGGATTGATTAGTGTCTGTCAGCAACTCTGGAGAATGTACACAAAGCACTACATTGGAGCAGATGGTAGCTCCCCATGCTATGCTGAGTATAACCTGCTTTCTTGGGAGGCCTTAATTTCAGAACCAGCAGGACTGAAAATAGTTCAGCTCACAACAGATTATTTTTCCCATTAGTATGTGGGCAGAACGCTCCATCAACACAAATGATCTAGGCCGAGTCACTCCTTGCTCCTCAGAGTAATCCTACTTGTGGCTATTACTCTTCACTTTGCTGGGAAAGTAGAACTTTCCATGCTTTTTAAAGAGTAATGAATAGTCTTTTAAGAATATTGTTTTTATATTTCTATAGAGCTACTCAGACACCCTTGACTAGAACAAGAGCCAAGCTCGAGAAATGTCTTTGCTACCTTTGTCCCCAATGCCCATAGCCTAAGACTGGCCTCAGCCCTTTGGGTCCCATAAGGAATCAGGATCAGCTCTAATTGAGAATGGGGACTTAATAAACTCCTTCTGTCCCCAGGGACTCTTCCTCTGAAACCTGACTTTGGGCAGGGACTAATCCATAACTGGTTGAACTCACAACTTTGTACTCTTAAGAACGTCATAAAATTCACCTTTGGAATGTTACCGAATTGTCACAAGTGAGTTCACAGAAAAATCCTCCGCCATGCCCCATACTGTATCGTTCACAGGCTGCCTCAGTTGTTATTCCTCCCCCTCTACTAACACACTGTCTTACCCATGTGAAATGCATATAGCAAACACCAGGAACAACCAACATCCAACCAGATGAGTATATATAAGCTGACAATTCAATAATATAAAATAAAACATAGCATTTAGATACTAGAAACTCTGCCAGCAATTCTAAACTGTACTAGTGTTTAAACTCAGAAGAGGAGCACACACTAATGGTTGACAAACAGAGGGTTTGAAATACTAGGCACGGAACGATAGAGTAAGAGAGAACAAATAAAGGAATGTAGCTGAGTAGGTGGATATACATTTGTGTATCAACCAGCATCTGAAGGAAACAGGGAAATTAAGAGTTTGAGGCCAGCCTATTGAGTTCCCAACTGAGCTAATTGTAAAGACCCTGACTCAAAGAAACCACGGTTTATAGATGTGACTCAGTGGTAGAGTGCTTGCCAAGAATGTATACACAGAGAATAAAAAAATGTAAATGATCATTTACAAAAGCCCAAAGACCAAGGCAAAAGCCAGACACAAGTTCCTATTAAATTTGATGCTAAAAAAAAACTAAATGAAAAAACATATAATTTATAAATTTTCATTGGTAATTTTTTATATTTGTTTCTTTATGCATATATGCACTTATTTATTTACTGCATGTATGTACAAGAACATGCCTAAGCTTGCATGTGGAAGTCAAAGGACAACTTTGTGGAGTTATCTTCTCCTTCCATCACAGGAGCTCTAAGAACTGAGTGACCTTCGTTAATAGGCATGACAGCAAGCACTTTAACTGCTGAGCCATCTTGCAAGTCCAATTAGTAACTTTTGATGCAGACAATGTTGCCTAGTTGAAAACAAATTTTAATAATAATAGTAATAATAATAATAATAGTAATAATCAGACTGACAAAGGCATATTAACAAAAACAGAGTTCCACTAAGCCTTGAGACGTTAGTGTGACATGTTAGGGGTTAAAAATATCTTCTTATATGAGAGAACACATAGAAAGAGCTGTTCACCTACCTCCACGAGAGGCAAGGACATTACCATCATAGGAAAAAGCCACACAGGAAGTGTCTGTGCCCGGGTCATGAGCCTGTTTATAGTGGAATTTAGGGTGAACCTGTAAGTAAACACAAGCAATGTGTTATCTTTTCTATATTTAGTTGTGACTAATTTTGTTGAAAGAACATTTTATTTTATCATTCAGGAAATTATATACATCTTAGCTGGAACCCAAATTTCACCTGATTATAGTTTTGTTCCTTTAAAAAAAAACTAAAAGGCTTTAGCAAATTTTACTTGCTTTAACAAAGTCCTAACAGGAGACTTTTTTTTAAAATCAAGGCCCAAATAACATAAAATAACAACTATTTTTGTATTATGCTTTTGAAGCTATTGGGATCGTTCCCCACATTATCTGAGAGATATCAAATAACCATATTACTTATTTAATACAAAATGCTCATTTTATTTCTAGTATACTCTAGACACGGTGCACATAGTTGTGATCCTTGGACAAGCTAATGTCTCTATTTATTGTGGATGGTGGTAATGGTGGCAATGGCGAGGACAGTAAGTCTCACACAACGCTTAGCATATCCTAGGCACTGCATCTGCAATGTCATTCACAGAGTCTTAAAGGTATCAACTTCTGAATGTCTCAGTCATGGTAGCATCAAGAATGAGAGAGTTTTCATCCAATAGCTTCTTGAGTTCAGTGTCTGTCCCTCCCCGCCCAGCCCCCCAGTATTGGGAGGCTGAGTGAGATCCTGTTTGAAAAACAAAATAAAATAAACAAAAACAACAATTCAAATGGCAAAAAGCCCTCAAAATGCTGAAAACAAATAGGCATGGAATCGAATATTTTAAGTAGAGAAATCTAAATAAATTAAAGAAATGAAAATGGGGAAAAATTATTAGCGAATACTGGTTCTAGAGCCAGGATGGTTTGCAAGCTTACTAGCCTCAAGTGTGAACCTGGCTAGGCTGCTCATTCTACTTACCAGTATACTGATCTTTAAGCGCCATTCCTATGCCTTTCCATCATTTATCCCAAGTCACTAGGATATCAAGTCACACTGAACCTACTAGCTAGCTCCCTGCCTTGTGTCGGAGTCATAGGCTTAAGAAAGCTAAAGTGGATACTACTTCCCAAAAAGATGATAAAATGCAACTATGCTGTCTAGACACATATTCTGAGAGTAAGAGGAAGCAAGCACTAGGTTATCTCACAAAACAGGCTTACTGACATGTGACTGATCCGCTGTCTCTCTTTCTAAGATTTCCTACTTCCTTAGTAAGTAGCAAATCTCTTCTCACTAGAATCTATTTTCAAGTGTCATTGTGAGCAAACAGTTATTTCCAACACATGTTTGAGTTGTCCTAGGGTGCTCAGTAGTGCCCCAATTGGTAGACAGATGTCATCAAAAATGAACTGCATGGAATGACTGTCATCATACATGCAAAGCAATGGGAAGAAACCCTGTCTACAAGACACTACTACTGGATGGTTACTGCTGAGTTTCATTGACATTCTGAATAGACAAGATAGGACTGCTTCAACAACTTTCAAAGAGGGCAACTCTTGCAGCAGCAGAGCGAGCATTGAGCAGTGTACACATTTACAGAGCTCTAGAGATAATCTGTCATTCTCTGGTCAGGGCTCTATCTTGGAAACTCTAGGACCCTGACACATAACTGGATATTTGGCTAAGTATCTTATTAAAAGAGGGTTCTATAGATACCCTGCCCCCAAACTCCAGGGCCCCTCTGCTTAAAGACTCATGTCTAGGAAGATCAAGAATGTTTTGTGTCCTATAAGATGCTACAAATGTCATCCCACAATGAGACAGCAAATATTTCTAATTAGGATCTGCCCCGGCCTCCTATCTTAGCTGCTAAATCAATAGGTAGGATTAAATCTCAGTATTTCTCAACTAGGGAAGTGTTGAGTCCAATAATGGAGAAACTAAAAGAGCTGTTGGCTAGCAGCTAGTGGCAGGGGTCATGGCATGTCTTGATTCTGGATTTGGAAGATGCTTAGTCAGGGGAGCTGGGATGCAGGACTAGATAAACACTAGATAAACAGTTCTTTGTGTTAGGCTCAGGTTGGGACCTCCACATTGAGTCCAAAGACTCTTTCATTCCTTCCTTCTTTCCTAAGGGCCTGGGTCACCATCTGTACTTGAAGACTATCAGCCTCATCTGGCTGCTTTCCCAGTTTTTCTTCATTGTCATTTTGGCAATAGATTTCTTTACTGTCTAACCCTGCCCTGGCATCTGCTTCCTAAAGAATCATAATATACACAGACATTAGGGAACAATACAAGCAGAGGTTAGTAAATGCATGCACTCACTGCCTTACTGCTTTTGGAACTCAGTCAATGCGAGAACAAACATTCATTACATCCTAGCTGATCAGAGACATGCCCTCAGCTCTCCCCTTAACACAATGGTTCTCATGATGTAAATATCTGATATGTGGGATATCTGATATGTGGCCCTGTGAAAGGACCATTCAACCCCAAAGGGGTCACGATATTTACATCATGATTCAGCACAGTAGCAAAACTAGAGTTATGAAGTAGCCATGAAAATAGTTTTATGGTCGGGGGTCACAACAACAAATAGTACTGTATTAGGACAGTTGAGAACAACTGCCTTAACATCAAGATGAGTGAGCCATCCTAAACCTCATAGCTCTGATTTAACATCTAGCTAAACACAGGTCCGATACTCAGCCTGGAAGAAACCAGCCATGCTGGCCCAGACAAGTACTGTATGGTGTCACATAATTTTCTCAGAATTCAACATTCTACCAAACAATATTCATCATAAACTAGTTCTGTTTCCCTTCAGTTCAACTTAACTCTACTTCACTATGCCTTGTACTTTAAATAACCATGGCATCCTTCTTTTGTCTGTTTTGTGCCTACCTATGGGAGTAAGAATTCACTCTAGCAATGTTTGTTAACTCTGGCCATGGTTAGCTTCAGACAACCATTGTCTCTAGACAATGTAGTTTGTTTCCAGTGATTACAGCCATTTCTTTTATACATTCTTTGATATCAGGTTAATATAATGCATTACGGATGATTAAAAAGTGAGAGAAGAGACTGCTTGGAGACAGCTCATCCGAAGACATGGAAGGATTCACCATACATGCTTTTCTTTATGGTACTAGATAAACTTTCCCCCATATTTCTTTTCTTTCAAGTAAGTCAGAGGTCAATTATTTCTTTCCCAAGCAATACATATGAACTTCGGTAACCCCAATGAGACTCTTAGAATACAGCATGTTAACCTACTTCATGGTACTTACTCTCATAGAGCAAAACAAAGTTTGAGCACATAAACTTTTGAGCACGGGAACAACTTGACAGGTGTCCAAGTTTCTGAGTTCTTCAAATAAAGATAGCTATATTCAATACCATGATGCTTTTCCTGTGTATTTTCCCTTCTCTTTTAGTTACCTATTGCTATGTCTAACAAGAAGCAACTTAGGCAATGGAGGACTTGTCTTGGCTCATAATTTGAGAATACAGCCCATCATGGCAAGGAAGCTCATGGTGGCAGGAGCAGCTCCAGGTACGGCAGCTCCCAGGTGAGGCAGCTCCCAGGTGAGGTACTTCACAGGTG